CTCCCCCCCCCCTCCTCTGTTGTGGTGTCGTCAACTTTGATGAGTTAACTATGGACTGTGACTAGATCTGGGTTTTGTTTCGTCCTGACAATGCCAGATTTTCTTCATATCCATATTAGTCTCTACTTTTTCATCTAAAGGCTGTGTGCATTATTCTTTGCTATCACAAATTTTAAAGAATGTCTCTCTGAATCAATTGCATTACTTGTCTTTTTTATTTATTTGCGAAATCGGTCTAATTGATATCTTATTTTTCTTCCAATCAGTCGAAGTCAGCTGTTGTCTAAAAGTGGATAACATAGATAAGAAGTGGCAGTCCCCTTGGCGATCTCCATCTTCCAATTGCTGGGACACGGAGTTCTCCATCACTGTCTCCCAGGCTCGTGAACTCCTGATCCAGGTCTTTTGGCGTCGTGTTTTCCCAATTTACGCTACTGGCGATGCAAGTTGCACTGGTGGAGGAGGTAACAATGGGAAAAGCACCGATGACTCCGATTGTGTTATGGCTGCTGTTCAGTAAGTCTAATTTTGCAATTATTATAAATTTTAATGCTAAAGAAATAAATTCTTAACTGTTGGAGGTCTCTTTGCACAGCTCTGCTTTCATTGCGTGTCATATTTTTGTTTTGTCTGTCGTCTTGACACGAGTGTCTCTTCTAATATCTCGATGACAATTGGCACTAGCTAATTTCTGCCGTTGCAATATCCAAATTTGGTGTTAAATTGTTACTATTTGTTAAAGTTAAGGTATAGACTCACGAGTAGAGAATATATAGGCTTTGTTAGACATTTCTGATTCTCATAGCAAAGTAGGGATGCAAGAATGAAACGTAGTCGTGACAAACAAAAACATATCAAGTAGAATGCAATTGTGTGGGATTAGGAATAACAGAGGAGACGGGATTGCAAGTCAAAGGCAAATGTTAAGGCCAAAATGAAAGCTTTAGGCATCGAGAATATTTCAATAGAGCCACCTAAGTAAATGACAAAAGTGATACTTTAATTGTTCTTTCTAATAAAAAGCGAATCGGAGACAGTTGGGATGGCGTTAAAACGTGTGTGTGTGTGTGTGTGTGTGTGTGTGTGTGTGGTGGGGGGGGGGGGTTGGCGTCTACAGTAGGCGTCCAATCGATTAAATGTAAAACGATAGGCAAGACAGAGAGGAAACAGAGTTCAGGCAAACAGTAGAATTGGATTGTGTGGAAGTAGGAAGGTTGCATCGAACGTAAAGCGGAGAGAAGCTTTGTATGTCGAAGTAAAGTGAATGGTGGCTCACATTTCAGATATATTGTTGAGAGATCACGTCCATTCTTTATTATGTTTATTGCAATTGTTAGAATGAATATGGGCCGCGCATTTATTCATATGACGAGACGCTGGTTTCTAGATTCCACAGAAATTGTAATCGCATCCGGTTGAATTTCAATTGAATTTATGAATCTGCCTATATTTGACTTATTGTGTTTATTGAATTGTTTATAATCACTTTACTTCTATTCTCAGTGATTATTATTGTATTCAAAGTTCTGTGAACTAAGACGCGGGAATAGGTTGTTTATGAATGCGGCACTATTTACGGATGGCGAATGAACAGTTTATGCTGTTGAGTCAGCTGTAAATTAGAATGTTAGCTGGGCTGTGATTTACTGCCTCTTTCTTGATTCCTTTTAGATTTGTGCGTTTGCATGACCTGTTAGACAGTAAACCGAAACTGCGTCTTCCAGTCCTACCTCAGGGTTATGTCAACCTACAGCTCACTTTCACCGACCCGCTTATGCAAGCCCCACGTGGACTCAAACGACAGCGTCGCATCTCCCGTCATAAGGGTAAGTCCTCCATCATTCACAACTCTCTCTCTCTCTCTCTCTCTCATCTAACTCCACTTGTACTCTGCATATTTGGCTCTATCCACTTGTCTTTCTTATTTGTTTTATAGAAACGGAGAGTGAGTTAATTTAATTAACATTTTGCACCTTAATTGCTGTATCCCAGTGTGTTCTTATTTTTGTATTTAACAAATTCATATTAACCTGAATACGCCTACATCCAGTATGGAATAGTTGTGTTATTTCATTGATTTCGAAAAGTTTCGGACAAATCTTCCTCTATGCTTCAATTTCAATTTTTAATTGCAATTTCAGATGGCTGTATGAATTTCCCTCCCCTAGGATATTCGAAGGACGGAAGATTTGCATTCCTCTTTTTCTGTTTCCCCCTCTTCTTTTCGTTAGAACAAATTTGTCCCCACCAGACAGCGCTAAGCTTACCTGCGCATGCAAATTCCATTTCCTTACGGAATGACTAATCGACCAAGCAATGCGCGCGCATATATGCTTTTCGTTAGGTCAGGAGTCTTGTTGGTTATTTGTGTGGAATGACCTTCAAGAGCCCTCGATTAATGTCGAATTTGAATTATGGAGTTGAAATGCCGAGGACTCAGTAAGGTTTGAGTTTAGAGGAGATGGAGAAGATAGATCGAAATGCAGTTTTTCTTTAGCCCTGAAATAAGAAAAAAAGTGCTGAATGATCTGAATGTGGTTGCTGGCTGGCAGCAGATGATTGTAAGAGCTGCCTTTGGGGAGCCACACTATCCGGTAGCTGTGGATTTGGCGGGCTAGGTGCTTTGTTTGCAATCAACCTTCAGCTCATTTTCTCTTTAAAACATTTTTTGCAATGGATGAAAATATGGTTTGGGGCAAAATTGGATTTCCTTGTTAATTGTTTTGATGGAACTTCTTGCCTAAAGTTGAAAAGTGTGGTCTACGTTTTTAGAGAGACCATTATTCAAGTTTGGAGGCCCCAAGTGGTAATTCAATTTTTTCATAGCTGTAGTCAATTTAATAGTAATTCCATTAACACTAAATGCACCTTATTTAATTGCATTTATTTCCACCTCCCTTCTCCTCCCTCAGGTCGTAATCTTCCACGTTTCAACGAGTCTAACATTACCCTCCAGCAATGGGTTCGAACGCACTTTGGGGGTCGATCGACCACGCCTCAACCTACTGCTACACCCAGTGTCAATACGGGACACACCGCGTCATCATCTCCAGTCACCATTGAGATGAATGGAGCACCTGTCCACGGGTTTATCGCCATGAATGAGAAGGAGGGACGCTATATCAAAGCCAACTCACCCATCTGTGATAATAGAGCAAGAAATAAGACTTCTTCTCTTCTCTCTGGAATTTCGCAGGTAAGAATCTCTAACAAGTCTTCTCTAATCTACCTCCTGCAGCTTTCAATTGCTCCATCTACTTCTCAAAATCACTGTTAGGACTTCCCCTACTGCTAACTGAGTTTTCAAAAAAAAATTATAAGCCATTAACCAATAATCAATTGACGGCTAAACTCCCATCAGAGGGTCGCTAATTATTGTGGCTTTTACTTAACACTACTTGCATTTGTTTATTCACGTTGAATCGGAATGCAGAAGTAATCATTGAATAAACAACACCAACTTGCGATAGTTCGAGCACCATAATTTCAGAAGGGGGGAATAAACAGCGTTCTATTATAGGTATTAATTGGATCCTCATATTTGAGAGGATAAATATAAGTGTGGTAGTTGGCATGCAGCCTTTTTCTCTTGAAACAGTCTGATCAATCGAACCGTAATATAAGTGTAAGCTTGATCGTGAAATACGCCAGATCATATGTCGGCAGCGCAAAGCTATTGTGGCTAAAAACTCGCGAATAGTGAGTACCATAAGTATTGGTTTCAACAATGATCAAGAGCAAGCGATATCGATCTAATCAAGATAACTTGCTATCTTCCTTTAGTTCTATGGTACTTTGATATGCGCGCATGCACGCATTGACAGAAGGCCAATTTCTCTGTTTTTTTTACAACAGTTGGGGACAGAATGGTGGTGGTTGTGTACACTGATTCAGGCCTAATAACCCAATTTAGCAAACGATCATTGCATCTTAAAGTACATTTACCTTTTAAAGGTCAAAGCTTTTATCAGTACCCCACCCTCTCCCGACCATCTAAAGGGCGACTAATTTGCTTTTTTGGAAGGATATGGAGCTTATTTATCTAGTAATTTAATCAGCCCTATCAAAAATAATTGATTAGTTGTTCATAACTCTCTCAAATTTCTACTTTATTTCCTACTATTTCACTCCATATAGTTAGACCCAATGTCTTGGATTCGGCGCTCGTTTATGAGCAGTAAGGGGCGCATAAAGAAACATAAAGTACGTTTGTAGTTTTCGTCTCCTCCTCCTCCTCCTCCTCCTCCTTTTTATCCCACCTCTTTCTCCCTCTCTCTCAACTCTTCGTTAATGCCTCTCTTAGACTTTATACACACCCACACACGCGCAGCTACGCTCAATGCACCAGCCATACCAATTTGCTTTATTGTCTGTACTGTGATTTCTTTGGAGTAGGCTGTTTCTTACCCCACAGCGTTCATGAACTAGCCAATTCATGATTCAAATGATTCGTATTGTCTTACTCTTTCCCTCTCAGATCGTGGGTAAATCACCCTTTTATCTGAGTTTCAGTTATTGATTATTATAGTTTTTTTTGTTGAACTTACACGCATGCCATTTGGGGGAATTATCAAATTAATAAAGTCGCTCTGACGAGCCCTTGATTATATGTCTCTCAATGCTTACTTTTGGCAGTGAAATGTTTTAGTAGCTCTTCAATAGGTGGTCATTCGGCACTTCGGTTGATCATATTTCTCATTAAATGTATGCCACTGTGGTTTCCATTTGCATTATTTATTTATTTATTTTTATCAACTTTTGCGGATGATATCCTATCTATTTTACCCGTTCATTTATATTTAAGATGACACTATATACTGTCATCATCAGATCATTAGGAACGTTAGGCCACATTTCAGAATCCGTCACTTCTCCTAGTCCCCCCCCCACTTCTATTGACACTTTCTCGGTTAAACCTCTCACGCAATTTCGCGTTACATACGTCTCCGCTCTGAAATATGCTAAATTCTCTATACAAATCCTCCGTTACTTCTTGGATCATTTGAATACTATTTCGACGATACAGCCTTATGCATAATAGTCTTAATCAGCAAGAGAGTTGAAACGGAATTCAGGCTCAATTATACTATTGTACGGCCATGGTGGCTAGGTAACATTAATTACCGCGAGGAAAGTTGAACGGGGTTATGTTAATCTTTTCGTTTAGTTTGAAACCAGACCAAATTCAGTTCGGAATTGGCAAGTATTATTTCACTTAGATAAAATAGTATTAACAATTTGACGGTCGTATTCCTATTTGGTGTTGAGTTGAGTTTTACTTGTTTGAAATTATTCCATATTTTCCAATTTTCCTTCCTTTGAAGGTGCTTAACATCTTTTGCCTCTATCAAACATTAACAGAGTCCACCAATAATGACTCCTGCAAACATCCGTTCAATGTTACCTTCGGCGATATTGAATTCCTCTTCTTCCAAATCTCACCAAAAGACGCTAGCTGAAAAAGCTTCAGCTAGTGCTCTTGTCACCAGATTCAACACTCCCTCTTATTGTAACAAGACTCGGGTATGTGAGGGATCGTGGCGCTCTCTAACCCTGTTCCCCATTGTTTCATTGGTGATGATATAGTTTGATCAAAATTCCGCTATCCTGACATTATGCTATGTTTCCGATTTGAGTTTATGCTTTTGTTTTATAGGATCATTTTATCTTACTCAATTTGTGGGATGTCGCTTTACCATTAGGATCAAGAGCCTCAAGATCGGTTCTGTCGCATTTTCGCACTAATGAATACTAGACTTTGTCTTCCATATTGGATACTATTGAGGGCTTCATAGCATCCTCCGCCTTTCTAAATTAATAAAGATTGGCTAATGAGCATCTAAGTTTTTTCTGAGGTTACCGTCGCTGAATGTCCAAAAATAGATGAACTATTTCTTAATGGCATTTAATGAACTTTTCCATTTCGAGGTGAGATCAGATAGAGACTGTGGCTATATCTTGTATTGGGGAGCCTCGTCAACCCATTCATTCATCAAAAAGGAGATTTAAAATGTGCTCGAAAGAAAATTGACTTGGTGGTGGTAGACTGAAATTTAGTCTGATTATGTAGAATTGATTGGACGCACGCTTAGGTAGCCGGAGAATTCAATTGTCAATTAGCTATTGGCTTTTTGTCTGTGGTTCACTATTTCGTCGTCTAGTATTAACTTCAGTACTTCCTCTCAGGCATGTAATTGCTCCTACTTTTTCACTTGACTCCTACTCTTGTTCTGTGTCCCCTGGTTTAGTCCTTCCAGATTCGCGTGGAGTGTTGCTGAAACCAGGAAATTGAGGTGATAGGAGGGAGTAGGCTTAGTCTCTTCACTAACTTGTGTCAGTATTGTACCTACCCGTAAAAATACACAAATTCTGACGCCCCACTAGCACCCGATTTGTAGCATGCGTTTGAGTTTGAAAGGAAAATAAAGCCAGTGGAGTAAAGATGCAGTAAGGTCAAAGGTGTTCATCTGGAATTGATTAAATGAAAAGGGTAAAACAAGTGTCTGGATGCGAACAGCTCCAGAGAGAAGGGCGCAGATGTTCATCGGAGTTCAAATGTATCTCGTAAAGACTTAATGGATCACCTCGGACTATAATTGCGGCTTCTTTTTCAGGTAAGGTGGTAGTGCCACTAGAAAGGTAGATCACAATTAGTTGGTTGAATAATGCAGCTACTCTAATTACCCGGTGGCATCGTAGAAGTGTTATTCGATTTGCTGCATCTTATCACCTACTCATGGAAATAAGCTAATTAGCGACCTTTTACCCCGTCTCTTTGTTATCGTGCTTCACATCTTGACTAACACAAATAGTAGTCCTCTTGAATTCAGAGTCTATTCGCCAGCGGTGCAATAATTGTCCCAATGCTTTAATAATTTTGTACTTAGGATCGTTAAAGTACAATGTGGTTCAAATGTGAGGGATGAATAATTATACTCATTAGACGTTGCCGATTAAAGTTTTTTTATAAAATATGTGCCAGGTTTCGAACTAATTAGTCCTTTACCAACTTCTAGACTAAATTTGTTCACCAAATTTTCGTGTAATTGAAGTCACTTTCAGTCATTCCCATCCAGCTTAATCAATTAATGAGGAAATACAAAATCTTGGGCCTAGATAAAGGATTTCCTACTTGATCAACTTCCATTCCACTGCTATCAATTAATCTTCTGAATGTGATGTGGCCGAATTTGGAGTTAAGTAATTAAGTGCAAGTGTCAAAGGGGGAATTTGGCTGTGTGAAGACAAAGCTTTTAATATAGCAATCACTGGAGGAAGAGAAGAGTGATTCTTGAAGATTGTAACGCGCGACAGGGTTTCAGTCGTAATTGTTACGCCTTTGTCTGTAGAAACTTGAGAAGCCTGGCAGTATTTGGTTCAATTGGACGCTTGTTTTAAACTGCATTTTAGGCGAGATTAGCACTTGATTGTAATCTTCGTGGAGGAAGTACCTTCTGGATTGGCAATTTTAAAACTAGTTCTAATTTCATGAAGTCGGAATAAATGCTTAAACCAGAGTTGTTCGAATGCAAAAGGTCGAATGGAGGAGACTTTTCTTCCAACTTCCTAGTTACCGAGTTGTTGATTTCCTAGTAACGGAAATAACTCTTTTGGATAATTTATTTTGTCCCCACTTCTTGGAGAAAATTAAGGCATCATGCAGTTTTGTTAATAGTTGAATTTGACGTTTCTCAGCCACAAATTTTTATCGTAACTTCATCGAGTTCTGTATTCTACTGCGGATTCTTGTTAGCAGGCAGTTCTAAACGTGATTATTCATAATCTTGATCAAGTGTGATTAGAATGCCTGAGCAATCTCTGCAACCATGTTATTATTATTTTTATTCTTCTATTTTATTTGAGCGGTTTTACAATAACACCATCTGCTTCCACATTTGTCAATCATGATGGTTAACCTTATTCTAATCATCTCCTTTTGCATTTAGTTTGATTTCTATGCCTGCCTTCCCCCCCCCCCCCTCACAATAGTCAGTTTTTTTCAGCCTTGACAAGTTTCTTTTCTTTTGGAATAATTCAAGCTCATGTGGTTACTATTTTTTCCTTCCACTCGTTCTATGAAGCAGGTTCACTACTAATTTTCGCCATTTATGCTTTCTCACACCTTAACTTATCTTCCTGTTTTGGCTTCAGTGCTATTTAATCTCCCTTTTCGATTCTTTCCAGTCGTCTTCCACAGGAGATCTTGTTGATACAACTTCCTCAAAATATGCAACAGCTCCTTTCAGTGTAGCCAGACCTCTTCCACCTTCATCTGTCGCTGGTGGCACCGCTGCAGACAGCAAACCCCCTCGACCTCCTACTATAAGCACCGAGAACTACGATTACGATGACTTCGCCGTCGCAGATGAGGCCTTTTTACACGAAAAGCAGAAAAGACCCCTTCAAATACCTGCTTCCCATATTGATAGCATTAAAAATGCTACTGCCGTCGCCGCAGCTGCTGAATCATCTGGTGACTATGCCAATCAAACTGAAATCGATAATCTAGCAGAGAAGGCGAAGGAGAAATCGCCTGTTTTAGAGTCTGTTGAATCTGTTTCATCTCGCGGAGGAGACGATGATGTGATTCAAAAACCAATTTGTAAAAGCCGAGATTCTTTTGGATCAGACTACGAAGAACCTATCATTCCACCTCATCGCTCTGGTCAGTTGCTTGGACTTTGAAATGTCACTTTTTAGTTTCATATACTAGCCTAGGTTGGTTTAGGTTCAGAGACTATCTTGAATGAACTCTTTGGTTCGTTATTGCTTTTCTGCTGTGGTTTACGCTCTGGTATGCTTAGGTTGTCAGTTCTCTCTGTGCGTTCATATGTGTTTTCAGATGCCTGTATAGCCTTGAATTTGACCTCCTTTCCTTCCTATTTTTCAATCCTAGTAAGTTCCAGTATACAAGATGAAGAAGATAAAGAGGAGAAACAAGGTTTGCTTCAATTAACAAATAGGCTAGCTTTATCGAAGGAATTTTTTCATGAAATTCTTCCCCACCTCGATGCTTATTTCTATCCTCTACTTTTCCAGATATCCCGACGGAGCGTCTGTCACTGGATGAATTCCGATTTGTTGCCGTGTTGGGTCGCGGTCACTTTGGTAAGGTTCTGCTAGCAGAATCTAAGAAGACAAGGAAGTACTATGCACTAAAGACCCTCAAAAAGGCTGAGATTCTCTTCCGAAATGAGATTGAGAGCCTGATATCAGAAAAGCGCATCTTTCAGACTATCACTGAAGCTCGACATCCATTCCTTGTCAACCTGGTCGCCTGTTTCCAGTCCCCTGTAATTCAGCTTTGCACTCAAGACTTATCTCTACATATTAAGTTACTTGATTTCTAATTGGTTGTCTTTTATTTGATTGTAGGAACACGTTGTGTTTGTGATGGACTATGCACCAGGTGGTGATTTAATGTTGCATATTCAAGAAAGCGTCTTTACTGAATACCGCGCCGCCTTCTATGCTGGCTGTGTTGTTCTTGGCCTTGAATTTCTCCATTCAAAACAGATTATCTATCGGTGAGTGCTCATTTTCATTTTTGTATGTGCGAATGAAGAAATAGCATTGTGGTATTAATTTTTATCTATTTGATGGGTAGTTGGGGGGCATTACAATATGCTCTCTTGTTTTTGACTCCTCCCATCAAACTCAATGATATTCTAATATTAGTGAAATTATTTATTAATAGTGTCCAATTAAGTTTATGCTTTATTATTGTTACCTTACTGAGCTTTAACGCGTATTCTGCTTGTCACTATCCCGATAACTACATTGAATGTAATTCGTCCACTTTCACAGTACTCACCTTACCTTTTTCGCTTCCTCAGTGTCTGCGTTTGGCATCTGTCAATCACTCTTCTGTCCCCTTTCTCGGCTTTTTACTACCTTGATGCTCCTCCCCTCTGTGAAGCCCGAAGTGAACTAAAGGGCTAATGACAACTATCACAAAGCCTGCCATTTAATATAAATGGATATTTAACGTAATTTCATGTGATCCAGAAGTTAATCTTCTTCATACGATATGTTTTGAGCAGGTGGTTGGTTAAGTTATAGGTACTATATCGTCCATCTTATCCAGAATTAGAATCAAGAATATAATTTGGACCCAATTATGTGAATTCCTACGTGATTCAATCTTCAATTTGACAACAATTCAGGATTATAACGAACTTACCTCTGGATATTAATTTAACTTTACTTCTATTCTGGCATCAGTCTCACGCGGTCTAGGAGTTGTACTTTTGCAGATATTATCATCTGATGAGCTAGTTACCCACGTTATAGTACACTTTTTTATCAACTTTTCTATGCTTTTTTTTAATTTTGAGACCGATCTTCTTTTGAGCCTGCTCATTCATCTTTATTGGGCAACTCCACAAAACTGGGACGAATAGAGAAATGTGTAGCTGTTGTCCACTTATTGGTTCTACTACAGGTAGCTTTCTAAGACGAAGCGCCGCGACTGTTCCTATCTTTAGTAATGGCACTGATAATTCGCAGTGTATACAGTTGCAGATGCATCTTGCTAGAAGAATTTTCCACAAAGCATATCTTTTTCCCATAACCTACAAACTTGGCTTCATTGGAAAGAAACATCTTGATTCATGGTGCTTGAACTTTCTTTGGACGTCTATGAAGTCCATGTTGCTAGAATAAACCGTATTTCTCTTGAAATTGTTGGAACTGGCTCTTGTCCTTATTAAATGGTTTGGAGTTTGAATTATTTGTGACGGAAGTTCATTCGGTTAATCTAGGTTTCGCACTTCCTGACAAACCAGGTATTTTGCAATTTCGCAATTTGACACTTTGACAATAGTGTGCCAATCTGTGGTAGTTATTTGATTAACTTTTTGACTATATTTTGCCAAAATAGTCGGAGACATTTTTGACAATCTATGCTATGCTGTTCTAAATCGGCTTTAGATTAATCTCCTCTTTTCAAGTATTTTCATTAATAACAACAATTGAGGGAAATGTATTGTTTGAATTGTATCATGCAATTAACTATGTTTTTGCACCTTATTTGGCTCAAAATATGTGCCAGATATATATATGCATATATATACTTTCAATTCTTTGCAAATGTGCCTATTCGCCTTAGAGTTTCTATTCTCCGGTCACATTTAGTTCTCACCAATCTCTATTTCCTGAGAGTAGATGAGGCTACTGAATATGCTGTCCGAATTGTCTGTTCCGTCTGTTGCATTGCTTTATCACTCCAGAAAAGGCTCTCCCTGATTGACGTTTATATCTTATGCTAAAGCTACTTGCCTTCGTGTAATGACCTCGTAAGTGGTGTTGGGGTGAGACATTTTGGCATCTAAGCTGTCATGCTACCTACTATTTTTGCCCGCACAGGGTGAATGTAATGTTGCTTGCAGTTTTTCATTATGCTTTTGCAGTATGTCCTGTGCCAACATCTTGCTGCTTTAAATTCGCAGCAATTTCAACCTTTCAAGATGTGCTGACTTGAAGTCAAATAGTATTGGGATGCAAATCTTCTTGTATTATAATTCTGATATTATGATGTCTGTTTATACTGCACAATTTTACTAGCCTTCGGTTTATTGAAGAGACCCCTTGCTTATTTCCATTCCGTTGGGTGCATTGGGTGCTGATTTTTTGGGTGGGCGTTCGCCTCCCTAGTCATAGCGATCATGAGGTGTGTGCGACAGAATTTGGCTTTTTCCTACAATGCCACTTGTCTCATCAAAGTGAAGCTATTGAAGTTGGTTCATTGTTTACTAAAACTTAACTGAGAAATTGTCATCGCAACTCCTCCATCCCATTCCAAGGTATTGTTCACCAAGCTTTGCAGTGATCTTATTGCTATATCCATTTGTGGGTAACCTATCATCATGATCTGCATCGTGTGACAAAGCGCAGCATCGGGAAGTTAGGTTAATATCTCTGAGAAGGGAATTAACACTCAGAGGCATGGAGCAAGACCTTGATCGTTGGGAAGTATATGTCTGTATGATGCACTCGTTGAAGAACAGGACGTGCACTTCCGACACATTTTATTGTATTACTCCCGAAAAGGCAAGAACGCATCGCAAGCACAAAATAAGTTATGTGCCGTATATGAAAAATTCACAACGATCTGGCCGCCCAGTCGAAGTGGATGAAACCCATATCAAGGCCATTATCGATTCAAATCGTCACAGCACAACACGAGATATTGCAGAGAAGCTCAATGTGTCGCATACATGCATTGACAAAAGATTAAAAACCCTTGGTTATGTCAAGAAACTTGATTTATGGATCCCTCACCAGTTAAAGGAAATTCATTTGGCGCAACGGATTAGCATCTGTGATTCGCTACTGAAACGCAATGAGAATGATCCATTTCTGAAGAACCTAGTTACTGGCGACGAAAAGTGGATAGTTTATAACAATGTTACTCGCAAGAGATCATGGGTGAAGCAAGATCAATCAGCCCAAACAGTATGAAAAGCAGAGATTCACCAAAAAAAGATTATGCTGTCAGTCTGGTGGGATCACAAAGGAATTTTGTATTTTGAACTCATGCCGCAGAACCAAACGCTAAATTCGAATGTGTATGTTGAATAACTCGAAAAACTGTAGGATGCAATTGAAGATAAGCGGCCGACATTATCAAATCGGAAGGGTGTTGTTTTCCATCATGATAACGCAAGGCCCCACACATCTTTGGTTACTCGGCAAAAATTATTGGAACTGGGTTGGGATGTTTTGTCACACCCACCATATAGCCCTGACCTTGCGCCTTCAGATTACCATTTGTTTCGTTCCATGCAAAACTCTTTAAATGGTAAAATTTTTAACAACGCAGATGATGTCGGATCACACCTAATTCAGTTTTTTAATAGCAAAGACCAGACATTTTACGAACGGGGAATTTTTACTCTGCCAGAACGATGGGAAAAGGTCATCGACACGAACGGCCAATATCTAATTGAATAAAGTTATATGTTTAAATAAAAATTTCGAATTTGCCTTCTTATTTGAAATCGGCAATGACTTAGTTGCCAACCTAATATATGTCTGTATGATACACTCGTTGAAGAGATGTCGGCATTATTCGTGCTTTGCAATTCTTCAAGTTAATTATGGTTCACATTGAATGATTAAACACTCATCTCTAGTTTAGGTATGGTAGGTCTTTTAACTAAAATTGATTCACAGCACGCCACGATTCAGTCCCCTAGGTTGTTGCTCAGTGATTGTTTTGTGTTTCCACTTCTCTTTTCTGTCCATAACTTCCTCTTCTATCGCACATTTTCCTTTCAAGACATGATCTGCCTTTTTCCCTTAGTTTCTGCCTTCTACTGGTATATTTGCACATTTTACTTTACTAACATGTGTCATTAGATGGGGGGAGAGGAGAGTAAGAGAGGGGAAATGGAGGGAGGGAAGGGTGGGGGGGGGGGGGGGG